TACACTAGCCTCTCGAACTCACCTGACAACTCCACCAGTCCGTTGTTAGGTAGGAATCTATTCAAAAATGTTGTATTAAATTCCTCCCAAGTCATAACTACTGCATTAGTCAGCCTAAGCGTCAACAAGTGATCATACTAGGCTTGAGCCACACCTCAAAGTCTAAAGGCTGCCAACTCTACTCGCTTGGCATCAAAGCACATCCAAATCTGAAAAATATTCACCAAATTATCTAGAAACTCATGCAAATCCTCATTTGCATATGAACCAGAAAATGTAGGAGGGCCATCCAAAAAAAATATCAGAAATATCCATCAAAACTAGACCAATACTACTCCAGTGCTGTTGTAACTAGAACAATAGTGGTGCTCAATTACATAGTAATTAGAGCTGGCTATCTACTCGAATTAACAACGCTCCCAATAAACTAGGTCATAATCTATTGAATCCCTTGAATACCAATCAAAATACTTGTAAATACATCATGAACTATGGAGGAGGACATAATGCCTCATTGATAGTCAACTCTCTAGCCTGCCTAACCATCCTTCCTTACCGTCAAAGACGCCCTCTACCTCTTGGAAGCAGAAGGTCAAACATGTATCGTGTGGAGAGTCCATCTATAAAATAGAAGGTCAAATGTTAGGATGATACTGGGATAGGCATGCGTTAGAAATTCAAACATAGGAGTATAGATAATACCCTAATAGGTTATCTGTAGTCTCCTTATTGTGAAAGTGGGGTCGTCATCGTCATAATAAGAATACTACAAAAGAATCTTACTCCATTTACTCTTAAATTAATCTATTATTTTGATACCAACTTTGTTACGTCCCAAAACCAGGCATGTGACTAGCATTAAAGCTAGGTTACCAACCTTAATAAGCCTCAAACAGAACAAACATTTAAAATACAATTTGGTTTAGTTTGGTTTGGTTTGTATGGCTTGTCCGAATGTTAAATATTAAACCAAATCGTATGGAAAAAAAAATCTTGAACCAAACCAAACCCCAGTTTCATCGGTCTAAACAATTTGGTTTAATTTGTTGAACACCCTTACTTGGGACTAGAACTATACTAATTTTCATAGTTTCAGTCCAAGTTCATGATTTTCATGAACTAGAATTGGCAGTTTGGTTTCAGTCTTGTCTAGTTCATGAACTGTGAGTAAGACTATTGATTACATAGTAAAATATAGGATAAAAAAAATATGCTACTTATTACGTACGAGCATAATATATGTGTTTTATAAAAGTTATGTTGAATTATTTGATATAAATTACAGATTTGTTAAAATTATGCTATGCAAAGAATACTAGTATATTATAAAAATTTTAAAAATTAAAAACAAATTTTATTTATTTGTTTAATCTTCTATGAATATATTTTTATCATGTTAAGCATATTTTCCTTCAAAACATATATAATGATCTATAAATGAAATGTAGTAACGTATATTTTTATATTATTATTTGATATAGATCATTAATAACTAAATAAAAATTGAGATATGAAGTTATGAACAACTGACTGATACACTAAGTCAACTAAAAAGTAATCAAGTAAATTAAAATTCAAACATCAAATCATGATTAAAAAATCAATTACTAATAATGATAATCAAAATATAGAAAAAATTCCAACAATCCTACGTAATGAATATATCGAATACTTTTAAGGTAGAATGTTCAGTCAATTCAGATCTCCTTTACTAATAATATTAATAGTAACTTTTTAATTTTTAAATCACAAATCTAGCAGGTAACTATCTTCATCAAACTCATAAGCAGTATAATCTAAAAGTTCGCTAAAATTGTTTAAGTCAATAAGCTCTATATCTCATGCTTCAAATGAAAAGATTTCTCAATTAATATTATATTCATTCTCGTAAGATTGTTAATTATTTTTAGTAATAATCTATTTCTTTTCTTTATTTGTACAATGTAAAAAAACTCTAATTTATTGCACACATAATAAAAATTACAAGGTTGATTAAAAATCGAATTGTCGACTTTTTTAGTACTAATATAAAACCTCTACAAACTACAAAAAAATGCACATATGGTAACAAAAACAATTGTAACTAATCAAATTTTGTCACAAAAAGAGGGGTTATTGTAACAAAAATTTGCATTTTGTTACAAAATGGTCCATCTTTAGTTACAAAGGAAGGATTTTATTACTTAAAATAAAAAATTGTTACAATAGATAAGATTTTATGTTATTACACAAAAAAAAAATAGTTATCTAAGTTAAAATTTTGTTACGCTTAATATGAGTAACATTTGGAATGAAGTTTTTGTAACAAATTTTTCTTCCTTTTGTAACGTGAACATTTTCTTCTCAAAAAAGTTACTTATTGTAACACAAAACTTGTTATCTTAAGGTAATTGATTTATTTTTTAATATGAATAATATGGTTCATTTAATTAGTTGTTAAATCTTGATTAATATTATTCATTTAATTAATTATAAAGTCCCAACTAAATTTTAGGGTCTTAGCTTTGATTTAGTCATGTTAAATTTATTCACTTGCAGTGCACAAATTTAAATATCATTATTTTTATCCTTTTAAAAATTCTTAACTCAAAACAATTATGTAATCCAAAAGTAAAAGGAAAATAAAAAAAAAAGGGTTTTAGAATTTTTTTGTTTTTAAATATGAAAATAATTATTAAACAAATAAAAGAAAAATAAAATAATAGAATTTTGGGTAATAAAATAAAGAAAAGTAAAAGTAAAAACAAAAATGATAAAGAATTCATATGAATGAATGAAATGGTTAACTAGATTTTCAATAAGATGTTCCCAAAATAAACAAAATTGCAATTTTCTCAGTTAAGTTAATTGGATTTATTTTGAAAGTACTATGTTGTAGTGTTGGAAACTTCTCTATTTTATTTATTTTGTAAAATTATGTAATCTAAGTTAAAACCTATTTTCTATTTTATCCATGATTTCTAGCATTTTTTTGTTTTATTATTTGTCATTTGTATTTTTTTAATTTATGTGCAATCTATTTTACATTAATTAAGATCCCATAAAATTAGCATAATTAGTTTAGAATTCAAGTTAATTAATTAGATTAAAGTCGCAGCCACTTAATTAAACACAGCTCACTTAGAAATTTTATTAAAATTCAACTTGATTAATTATCAAACTTAACTCAGTTAATTAGTGATGTGAAAATTTATTCACTCAAAAGTGCATGGATAAACACTCTTTGAAGTATTGTTTCTTTCAAAAAAATTGAACGTGGTTGGTTGTAACAAGTTAAATTCTTGCTTTAAAAAGAATCTATGTTACAATTTTAAAAAACTTTAAACAAGAACTGAAATTTCAAAAACTATTAAATTAAAACCAAATGTTGTTTGAACGCTTAAAAATTTGAAAATCAAAAGAATGGTTTAGAATAATGGATGAGTGTGCAATAAATGTAGAAGAGAGCTCCAAAGTATGAAGCAAAAATAATTAAACATTTCATTAGAAAACTTAAGAATTCCTTTAAATAAATGATTCACTTCATAAGATAAGATTAAATTGCCCAAATCCTTTGTTAATTTCTTATTATACAAATTCTTTTATACCATTAAATCTTGTCTCGTATTAGGTAGTATTTATCAAACTTTATATAAATAGTAAATAAATAATAACAAATCAAAAAACCCATTTTTATTTCTCAAATAAAAAATCATAAAATCTGTTTCTTTGCATGAATGAAATTCAAGGGTCCAACCCCATCAAATGAACAAAAATTTACATTTTTGAAAGCTAAGTAAGACTAAAAGCAAATCATGCAATTGCCGTCCCCCTCAGTTTGAAAGAATTATCAAAAATAGGAAAACAATGAGGGCTATTTTCATCTACCAAGGAGCCTACACGAACCAATATAAAGACACTTGCTTATCTTCCCCTTTCTAGTAGAACACCTTTCGGGTCACACCTGAAAAGACAAGGAACATTGTATTACAAGATATTAAACAAATAGACGTGAAAACTGGCAAAGGGCCTAGTTAAAGAGACAAAATTTTGTAGGAATGTGTCCACTTGCACCAATCCTAATTCAGGCATTCAATAAATCAAGAAGATCATGCAATATTTTATTCTAAAGCCCACAACCAAAGTTTAAAAATTTAGTAACCATATAAACTCCTGTACACATTCTACAAGAAAACAAAAGGTCTCATAAGTTATTTAGAGAATCGACAGAAGGTTTGGAGGAAAGGTCAGCTACAAGTGACCAAACAGTTAAATATATCAAGAAGTCAATAAAAAACATGATTAGCAAATAGACCCTATGAAAGACAATAAACATTACCTATGAGGCCATATTTTCTCAAGAAATTAGCTACTATTGTGGCATCCCAATTGTACCTACATTGTTACCTAGTGTGAAACAGCATTATGTGGGACAGCATACTAATTAAAAAAAAAGAATAAGGTGAAAAACGTACTGGTGTTTGGTGGGTTCTTGAGGCTTAGGTTCATTGAGTATCCCCGAAGAGCAAGTACAGAGGCATTGTAGTGAGTCCCCCTTAATTTTTCTAATGGAAAGATGATAATATATCATCTAAAGTGAAAAGACAAATGAATTTAGTTGTGTGAAAGATGATATACTATTATCTGAAGTGCAGAGATACAACTTGTTTCCATGTAGCTCAACATAAAAATTTATCTTATACACTATCACATGTAATGACACTACTTATGCCTCGTCTGAAAGAACTGAACAAGAAAAGTATCATTGAATCCAATCTTCTTCTCATATGCAATGGCTGCTTCAAAAAACTTGGCCTACATATAGACTATTAATGTTAAATTCATTTTCAAAGACAAGCCAATAAAAAAAATTACATTTACATTTTAGTATGAAATTGAAGTTCCAACATCTACACATCTTCATTTAATTAGTATAAAATTAATAATAAGCTAAGACACTGTAAGCAATAAGGACAAAACTTCAAAATCTGAGATTTAGAGCATAATACAAATCTTTAAATTCAAATTGTAGCTGATAACAAAGAAAATAGTGTCGAGACTTTTTCCACATGGTCAAGCTCTCTTTCCATGTCTGCATTCAGGAGAGTCTGATAACCCTCCTGACCACCCCAAAAGACATAATTTTCTCCCCCTAGATAATGCATGACCTATATTAGGTTACAGTTTCAAAAATTAATTCTTCTCAAGCTGTCATATATTCACCTACACAGTCACGGATAACCACTCAATCTATGTTTCAAAAATTACATAATGTAACCACCCACTTCCATAGCTTTCTTGACCTGAGCAGCAGCATATACATATACACTTAATTCAGAGCTGTTACCAATATTTCAAAATGAATAACATCATTACTATTACCACTATTTCAAAATGAATAACACCATTACTATGTTAATTATGAACATAATCAACAAATTCAATCTTGAATATCTTGAAAAATACCTAGTAGCACCACCATGCTCTAAACAATAGATTGGTAAACTAGTTGTTAAAAAATTTGCTCTAAACAATATGTGCCTAAACCACCAAGCAAAAGAAATGATCAGGGATCTTGATTCTACTTAAATGAAGAGAACAAAACCATGACTAATAAAGTATTATTAAATGCCATATAGATATGCATAAGCTTAATCCATTTTATGTTACTGAAGCTGTTTTGCCCGCGCTACAACTTCATCCAAATTTGCATTGGCTTCCTCGGACAATAAGAAGAGGTAACAATGAATATCATTGTTAACATCTATAGTAGTTTAACATCTATAGTAGTTTAATATCATGTTTCACAGAGTACAAATAAAGTAACAACAATTTGATTCCATTTCCATCAAAAGGGCTAAAACATATTTACTAGAAAAGTCAGCTTCTGGGTAGGGAATTTTCTACAGTAATTAATTGGCAATGCATGTGTTGATTTTAGAGCCTAAATAGAAATGAGGAATGGCTTCTACAAACAACTTCTGCTTTCTTTCCATGGTCTCTTCTGTTTCTGGAGATCATTTCTTCTAAAACCTTGTTTGGTAAATAAGGTTCATGTACTAAGTTTTTCTATTGAATGTTAGTTTGGGTAATAGGGAGCTTTAAGGTGCTTATGTTCTGTTTAGTGCTTATTTCAACAATTTCAAGATCAATTTTATTTTTCTTTTCTAATTATAATTGATATTTACTCCCAGAGGGTCAAACTAGCTTTAACAGTGCTTACTGTTGATTAGCTAGCTATTGCCATGGACATAAGCTCAATTATTTTATTATGTATTTATTTAATGAGCCTTTACCCTCAGATTGATGTGGACATCGGCTCATCATCTGTTTCAAGGAGTGCCATCAGTCTCGTGCTTGGATGTGACAAGCATTGTTGTTGATCTTGCAATTTTAATCGTGGTTTGTGTTTGTTACTTCAACAGTTCCCGTTATTGTGCAAGATGTTACATTACATCAATGGAGTATCTTAAATCATGCTTATCTCCCTAAGAGATTCTAGCCTTATGCCTTTCTTGAAGCCACTTGTATAATCAATCACCTTCCCTCCAAACCATTGAACTACAAATTTCCTTTTGAATTGTTACATCAAAAAAAGGTCAGTTTTAACTCTTTTAGAGCATTTATTTAGGACACAGTTTACATCACTCACTATAAAAAAAGGAAAAAAAATGGCAGTTCAATTTAGTAAAAACAGCAGTTCGTAACCGCCATTTTTCAACTATACGGCAGTTCAAAAAATTGCTGAAATTGGAGGCATCGTTAGGTATAATATAGCTGTTAAAAGTGAATCGATGTAGAAACCATCGTATTAAATATTATTAAATATGGTGGTTAATTTTACGGTGGTTGAACTGCCGCAATAAATAATGCATATTATGATGGTTAGTTTTGGGCGGTTGAATCGCTGTAAATGTTGGCGGCTTATATACGGTAGTTCAATTGTCATATATCTCGGCGGTTCAAATATGGCGGTCGAACCGCTGTATTAATATTGAACAGTACGGCGTAGTTGTTTGGGCGGTTGAACTGCCATAAATGTCGGTAGTTTATATACAGCGGTTCAACCGCCGTATATGTTGACGGTTCAAATACGGTGGTTCAATCGCCATAAATTTTGGTGGGCCAATTATGGCGGTCGAATTGCCTGAAATATCGGCGGTCTAAATACGGTTGTTCAAACTGCCGTATTTATTTTGTTGTTGATCTAAACTGCTGAAAATTACAATGGTCTAAACCGCCGTAATTTGCGGTGATTCAAGTCGAATTGTGGCAGTTTTTGAGGATATTATAGTGGTCTTAACCGCCGTAATTTTGGGTGTTCACTTGAAACCCAAAATTACGGCAGCTAATATTAGTTAGGCACAATTTGTAGCAGTTCAATCAAATTACGGCCGTTTTTTAGGATATTATGGCGATCTTAACCGTTGTAATTTTTGGTGTTCACTTGAAACTCAAAATTACGGCGGTCCAAAGATAGTTAGGCACAATTTGAGGCAATTTACGGGTGTATGAACCTGTCATGACTCAGTTGTTATAATTCAAGGTTAATTTTAATACCTGTAAGAATTGTACCAAAATCAATACATTGTTCAAATACTGTGCAAGAATTAACCCTAAAATTTAAATCAAAATTCTCATTTAAAAATCTAACATTACATTCATTGTCAAACTACTCCAATATTTCATCAAATGTATAATCCACACGATAATGTCCAAATTTGGTTCAACCTAAATTATGAAAAAAATCGTCACTAAGAATGTGGGCTTCTCTGACTAGGCGGACGAGTGTTACTGGCATCAAACGATCCTCTTACATTAGCCGGTTTCGTAACTCCACTTCCATGATCCGCTGGAGCCTGTGATAATATAAACAATATAATTAAAACATGGCTCAGAATATAATGATTTAACAATACAAATTAGCAGAGTAGCTTCATGTGTCATCCTCCACTTGCCTTTTTTAGTAATCAGGTTTGTATGTTAAGTTCTATTGTAATTCTAAAAAATAGAAATTAGTTCATGCTTAAATAAAACAAAAGCCAAATTTTTATTTAATGAAAAATAAACCAAAATTAACAGCAAAAACATAGATTTTCTAGTGATGTATCTTGTTTCCTTTTCTTCTACAGCAACCAAACCAAAAAAATTCAATATAGAGTATGCTTTTTCTCCCTAGGGTTGCAACCGTGGCCTCCCAAAAGTCTTCTCTAAGGTTTTGTGATGTTTATTGTGTCCAACTCAAATGGAAGGTCATGTTTTCAAGGATGGTTAATACATCCATCTATAATTGGTATTTGTTAATGCTTGTGCTAAGATAGTTCATAGCATATTGGTTGTTCTAGGATTTAGGAAGTCTCCACAACTGGCATAGGAAGTAGAGAAATAGAAATAAACAAATTGTAAAATTTTCCAAATGTTGAATCCTTAATCATCTTGCAACTATTCAGTGCATGCTAGTTCATTCTTAATTTGCAATCAAATTTCTTAGACTAAAACCTTTTCATAATCTTTATATGGGCAACCAAACATGGTTGCATATATTCTACAAATTAAATATCAAATTTGATCAGAAGAAAATAACTGATTTATCAATACTGCTGGGACAATTTTCCCATTTGAAAACATCAGATGAACCAAAAATAACCAAAGACATTGAAACTTACAGTAAATTGCATAATTTTGTTGAAATGGCAAAAGATGGGGCAAGGCAATGTGTGCCAACAAAGTGTAATGTAGAAATTATTGGATCACCCCACATGTCAAGTTGAGGATTGAAAGATCAAGGCCACAGGATTTGCTCACTTGTGTTATGCCCACATTCACCCAACCAATTAAGAGAGAGAGATAACCACCAACAAACTCATAGATAACATGGTAACTGTTTGACTTGAAAAATAGCTGCACACAGCTTCAAACTCAATACTCAACTTAATTAAAATAAACCTTCGCCCAGTCAAATAGGGTTGGCTACATCAATCATGTTTATGTTACTAAAGTACAATCACCAACCTTACAACATTAACAGAAAGAATAAAGCATAGACACTTGTGCACACACAAAACATTGAGATCCTTTTCACTATTGTTTGATAATGGCTGGGAAAAAAGAGGGGGAGAATACAAATAAGAAGAGTAGAAGAGAACCTCCAAAAAATTCAAAATATGGTCAGAATTTTTTAGCAACAGAACGTATGACATTAGAGAGCATCAAATGAGGACTTCTTTTACAAAGGACAACATTCATTCCATTTGATATTGTCAAAATTTGTCAAATTTTGATTACTTAAGTGAATGAAAACATGACCTTCCATTTGATATTCCCCTTCCCAAAACCAAAAGCAAAATCTAGAAAGACAAGGTTTATAAAGCCTACTGTCTGACTAAATAATTGAATTATGCATCTGAAAAATCTGGTCACTTCTTGGTTCTTCAACAAATATTCAAATTTGCATTTTTTTCCTTCTCTTTTTCACCCAGTTTCTAAGTAGCCAAGTAAAACATTAATTACTAATGCATCTATCTCATTTAGCATTTTGAAGAATTTTCGACTAAGTTTCAGTGTGCTTCACGAGTCAAAAAAAATGCCATTCGACCTAAGTTCAGAAAATTGCAAAAGCTCATTCAGGCCTCATCCAACAAGACTCTCTCAACAATGAAACAGAAAAGGGATTCCAAATATTGTATTTACATCCTCTATTTCCATATAAGTAAGTAAGAAACCCATAACAGATACAGACAGATACTACAAATCATAAATTAATAGCCAATCAGATATAATAGTAGATTTCATCAAAAACTCAGCAAGAAGGTGATGTAGAATTCATAGTTGGTATGATACTAGTTTACAAAATTAATTACAAATACTTTGCATGACAAATATCCTAGTCAAAAAAATTCTTAGTAATGATAAAATTGAACTAGTGAGTTGGATTTTACCTTTTGTGTACAAGGAAATATCCCGGCTAACTCCTTAGGAATTCTTCCACTGTCCTTGTTACGAATGTATGCACACAATGCCTATATTGTTTCGTCCACTTTTGTTGCTAGTCTGAAGGTGTGGCAACACTCGCCAAACCCAAGTTCACACCACCAATTCGTGTGGTGATATGTTTGAATGCAACGGAAGGCACCACTCCCATGCCTAAGACTCGAACACGTACAGGGTGCTTCGGTCCAAGTACCACACCGATAGCATCGTGGGGGGAAATTTTTGAGGAGCTTGATGTACTTTGACTGATATGTTCTTGAATTTTTTCCTACATTAATTACAAATAAAGTTAAGGATTAACTATCATTTAACTATAAAATAGGTACACAGTATGAACAATGTTCTTGAC